GTCGCCCCGGTATCGAATAAAGCGAAGACTGGAGTATGGAACAATGATAACATGCCCGACATAGTATCTGGCTGCTCTGTGGCCTTGGCCTGGTCAAGCGCGTAAATGTGGGCGGGTGCTCCACGCTGCTGCTGCTGCTGTCCTGAGGGTCTCTGGGCTGGCTGTCTCTGGCCCTGCTGTGGCTGAGGGCGATCTGGACAGTCTCTAATCAGATGTCCTGGGCGCGGCGGCAATGGTAACATATGTTCTGCCCGGCTAGACACTCCCCGCGGTGCTGACGTCTGCAGGTAGCGCATGCCGACAAATCCTGTCGGGCTGGCTGGCCCGCCTGAACTGGCCCCCTCTGTCCATGGCTCCTCTTATCCTTACGATCGTCCCACTTTCTCTTGTTTTTGTTCTGAGCTGCCTGGGGTAGTGCTGGCTGGGCAGGCAGAATGACGGCTGGCTGTCTGGCTGGTGGCGGGGTAAAGGTGTCTCGCTGGAGGTACACCTCAATCTGCTGAGCACGCTCAACAGTCTCGGCATAGTCAAGGAAGCCATGACTGGCTATCAACAGTCGAATGTTGCTCCTCAAACCATCGAGGAACTGTGTCGCCTTCTTCTCCTCCATATCCACTAGATGCGGAGCAAAGGCACTCTTACGAGCGAACTTGCGCTCGTACTCGTCCACTGATCGCTCACCCTGTTGGAGAGCGGAAAACTCCCGTACCATCCTCTGCTTGAAATGGCGAGAATAGAACTTATCCTCCAAGAGTGTCTTAAACTGAACCCATCTCATGGCATCACGCTCATCCTCGGTGCGTAGGCGCCAGTAATCCTCCCACCAATCTCTGGCGGCTCCCTCAATCTGCAATTCGGCGCAAGCCATCTTATGAGCCTCGGAAATACCCATATAACGGAAGATCCGCTCCATCTTGAGGATCCACTCGACCACGGCTAGCGGGCCATTCTCCCCAGAGAAACGGAGCGGATCATAGGTACGGAATCGGCTGACCATAACTGCCTGGTCCTGCTTGACTGCGGCTTGAGAATCTCTGCACGGCGGCATTCTGGAGATCCAAATATACTTGAATTGATCAGTATAGCCAATTAAAAAATAGCCATATTAGACTTGAAATAATAAAATAAACAATAATATCCGAAAACACCTAGCTTGGCTAGAGTTCCGGTATACTTAAACTTTCTATGTTCTGGCTCAAAATGGAGTTCTGACTTAGTCTAGAGTCCTTGGACTTAACTGTTCTAGAATTCTGTCTAGAGTTCTGCCTCTAGAGTTATCTTTCTTACAGGAGGATATCATCTAGGCCCCATACTTGAACTGAATTAAGCACTTGCAAAACTTAAACTGAGTCATGTGACTTACCTCGGAGTTGGTGCGGGATGAGCGTGGCGTGGTCATGCTTTTTCTAAACTTTATAATAACGTGTCATGAACATAAATATATAAGAGCTTAAACTGTACACTTTTATTTTCTTGCCTTACTGTGGTCAAAAGACCCTTGGCCCTTAGGTCGGCGCTCGTGTGCACACCCCGATGGGATATTAAGGCCCTTGGCCTCCACCGATCACCAGATGGGATATTGAGGCCCTTAGGTCGGCCTTCACCTAGAGAACTAATAGTCTCAAACATACCTCTGTCATGGTACATATATTATACATGATGTTGAATCCAGTACATGACCCCCACCTGTTATGCTGAAAGGACTACGCAAGTGCTGGAAAATATGGGTAGCTTTCGGAGGCTCGACTCTCCTCAAGCTACCAAACATATACAAGCAAAATAAGCTAAGTATTTTGCTTGACTGCTAAACTTAATATGAAATGATCATTTTATATTATAACAGATAAGCAGGTAGGCAGATTATAGATAAATAATTACATGCATACATAACAAAACATATAAAACAAATAAGATCACGTAAACAAGTAAACTGGACTTGCTCTTCTGCTCGACTGGACTGATCTAGCGTTTCCAGATAAAGTCTGACTGAATCATGGAAACTGAATTTATCAGTCTATCTTAATCTGGTTTGAACCAGCCGGTCTAACTTAGTCGAACCGGGTCCGCTTACCGAACCGGCTCGAGTTCTACTGGTGACCTAGGCTCGGTCCGGGTGGCACGCGCGCACGCTGACTGTGCGGCACTAGCTGCTTGCCGGTCAGGGCGGGAAAGTGACCCTCTCTGGCCACTTAACTTATACTAAGCCATGTCTACTCATGAAGCTCAATTAAATCAAGATTTTACATTTATCTAAAATTTAAACTGAACATAATTGAGCTCTTAACCTCATAAATTTTTAAAATTCACACAAGTCTCCAAAAATCATGAAACTTGGCAGTTAAATACTAGACATAGACATGTACTTGCTGTCCAAATTTCATGTCAATAGGACTTCATTTGCTTATTAAACTCATGACTTAAGCATAACATGAAATTCAGTTATATACATGCGCATATTGCAACAATTTTGTAAAATCACATGATCAACATTTTAAGCTCAAAATAGGTCACAATGTTCACCACTCATAAGAGGATTTTACATAATTTTCGCATTCATAGCTTGCATGTGGATAGAGTACTCTCGCACATAAAATTAGTTCGACATGCATGCGATCTAAAAATTATAACTCCTTCATTGCTTATGATAAAATTATGAAATTCGGTATGGAGGCTCTCAACTCATATATAAACATGTTCATAAAATTTCATAATTTCATCCTGCGTATAACTCGAGTTCTACGCATTTGAAATCGCAACTGAAATTCGCGCATTTAAAGTTCATCTTGCATGTTTAACTTTAAAAATCAAGAACTCGAGTTATACTAAGCCAATTGACCTGATTCTTGATCCTATTAACTCCTCTCTTCCACAATAAATATATGTGTAAGTCTCACAATAGCAGGTTTGGCATAGCACAGGTAAAAATGCAAGCAAACATCACATAAACAACATGCGGGTGAGCTGAAACAACTTTAACATTTTGCATGCCTATAAATACTCAAAAACTGAACCTATAAGTCATCAAAACACATCATTCTCATCCTCATACCGTGCATAACAGGTCCTACAAAGGATTTAGCAAACTAACCTTGAAAACTTCTCAAAAATGCAAAGGAAGCTCGGTGTGCTCGGTTTTCGCTTGGTTCTTGTTGCTGTGGCTTTGTGGCTTGTTCTCTTCGAACTTTCTTGAGTTTAATGCCTCAAAACACTTCTATGGGAAGTGTAGAATGGGGTAAGAGTGATATAATATGGTTGGTAGCAAGAGCTGATGGCTAGAATTTGAAAATAAACACAAGTGTGCACTCGGAATTTTGCATGCTCTCAAGTACTTACTCTCGGTTTTTGCTAAAATGCTCAAGTGTTTGAGAGTTTTTTACTACACAATGATAAGTATCTTAGGAGTAACAAATGGGGAGACTTTGGAGCTTGGAAGAGGCTTATAGGCCTGGTCTTGGGCGGACATTACAATGCTAAGGAGGTTTGGGAACACTTGTGGGGGACAAGGTGCTCTTTGTCATTCCCAAAGACACTAAGGCATGCATGGGCTGATGGTGCACGATTTTGGACAGAAAAGAGGGCTGAGAACTCTTGTCATAGCACCAAGGGTTGAGTGGAAGACACACTCTTACACAAGGTCTTAAAAAAACAATCCCACCTATGCTAGGTTATGAATATAATAAGGCTAATAAAGTTTGACTTGTGCTAATGACTCTTAGGCATGACTTAGGCTTAAAATATCTCCAATGCACTCTCTAATGTGCACGCATGGTTTAAACCATAAGATTGAAGAAGGGCTGGTGGCAACGGGCTCGGTCTTGGCTCGGGTGGGTTAGGGCTCGATTTAAATGTTCAAGACTTATACTTTGATATTCTAATACACTTAAAAAATTATTCTAAGCATAAAAATACCAAGACTTGGCGATGCTCGTAAACGACTAGAGAAATGACTCGAAACCAAACTAGAGTTCGAACCAAACAAATTCTCGAGTCAATTTGCTATAATTTCACAACCCAAATTAATGGATTGATCTTGACTTAAACTTGATATAGAATTTTTTTTCCAAAGAATGTTCTATCAAACTTAGGAATTTATTGAGCATTTAGCATATATAATATAACTCGAAATTTCTGAAAATTACGGATTTCACTTATAATCGAGCAGTGAAATCGTTCTTAATATTATTTCTGATTCAGGGCGTTGCATAATCGCCGGAGACGGCTGCTCCCAAAAGGAGAATTTTATGGGTATTTTGTTGCACACAATATTATATATAATACAATAATTTTTCTTTTGGAGTCCTACTTTTACTACAAAAAAAATGATGAAATTTCAATGAAAATATATTACAATAGAATTTCAACAACAATCTAATGAACACTTCAATGTTATTTTGCTCCCATTTGAATTTGCAATATTAAGTTCTGACAAAAATATTTTGTTGGAATCATGAGCAAATCTATGTTTATTTAATAGACGACACTATCCCAAAACATATAGGACTGACTTACCCAACCAAATTAGCTTGGGAAATCTTATGTCAATTGTGGAGTCGACCTCGGGCCGGGCTTTTTTAGTATCACGATATAAAAGTTAAAACCCTAACCCCTCTCTGTTCAACTGTCTCATTGGCCTCTTAGCCCCAATTGAAGGTATGGTGTCTCTCTAATCTGAATCTGCATGAAATTTCTTCTTTATCTCGAAATTCTTTTCAGTGTGCTCTATCTTTCTGATTTATTTTCTCCATTTTTTATCTTCCTTTTTTTGCTGTGAAAAAGAAAAGGAACCTCTTCTCGTTGATTATGTTGATTGTACCACTAATACGTTGTATTCTACTGGTTTTCCTAATCTAGTATCACCATTTAGTTTTCTAATTTCAAGTGTTGGGTTAGTATTAGTGCATAGTTTTTTCTGCATATAGATATTGTTATTCAATTGTTTTTGTTATTTGAGTCATTTGACGGCAGCATGTGATCTGCCAATTTATTGTTGAAACAGCTGGGCAGTGTGCCTTTGACACGCTACTAAGATGAGGTTGGAGAAGTGCTGGTTCTGTTCTTCTACGATTTACCCAGGCCATGGGATTCAATTTGTTCGTAATGATGCAAAGGTAAAAAAAGAGGACTTTTATTGTTTTCTATGTATTTTTTTAACATCTTTGAATCGTTGCTTGTTGAGAATCGTCTTTGTTGGAGAGAGAATCTCCGATTTGATTTATGATAATGTGAGATTTAATATCCTGAAGATGAAAATCTAGTAGTTATGTATTAGTGATCTGCTGAAATGAATTTGATTTCTTGAAACATTTTTCTTAAAGCATCTGTAAAATTGATTTTAAGCTGCAATTGAAATATTAGTTAACTTGCGGTTAACTTGCAAAAATCAATGTTGAATGTTCTATAGCAAAATCCCACTTTTCTTGCTATTGCTTCTCTATATGTAGTAATATATTAGATTCGGTGAAGCTCTTGTTATTCAAAAGTTTATTTCTTGTAAGAGGGATTCTTTCATGGTTTTGTTTGATTATTTTGATGTTCTTGCATGCCAGCATGTGTATATTGCTCGCGTTGTTGCATTCATCAGATTTTACATCCATTGTCCGGAAGCATTTTATGTCTGCTGATTATGCAAATTGTATTTTTGGTGTTTTGCCATTTGTCAATTTAGTTTCGTGAAAGGAATGAAAGATTGAACAATTTTCTCATAGAACTCTGTGGGTTCACTGAAAACATTGCCCCTTAGATGATTATTATCGTGCCGTTACGTTTTGTTTTGCATTTATGCATTTTAAATGCACGAACTCCTTTGTACTTTGATTTTGTAGATTTTTAGATTTTGTCGATCAAAATGCCACAAAAACTTCAAGATGAAGAGAAATCCACGCAAAGTAAAATGGACCAAGGCTTACAGAAGATTGCATGGAAAGGACATGACTCAGGTAAATATCATTAGTGAGCCTTATTTTGAAGCTTCTTATATTCTCAGCAATAGAATTTGGTTCTTATTTCAAAATCTGTTGTCTTTTCATTCAAATTTCGAAGGATGCGACATTTGAGTTTGAGAGGAAGAGAAATAGGCCTGAAAGATATGACAGAAATGTCACGGAGAACACTCTCAAGGCCATTAAGAAGATTGATAAAGTCAGAGTTGATAGGGAGGCCAGACACCATGCCAAGAGGTTATTTTTCCCTTTTAATCTGTTACCATTTTGTACCATATACCCTCTAAGGTTTTTTTACCTACTAATAAAAACTTTAATTGTCTATCAAATTGACAAATACCCCATCGAGGTTTGTATTTGATCTATCAAATTCCTCTCCTGAGGGTGAAATTCCATAACAAGAAACAGAAATCAAGAGGATTTTTCCGTTTTAAAAATAATTTCCCCGTCTTCTCCTGCGAAGACTTGTAATTGGCCATTGTGTTTTAACTTTTATTTGCACGTGTGAAAACTTGGACAGGATGAAAGGAAAGAAGGCCCAGTTGGCAAAAGAGGCAATGAATGAACTGAGCCAGGGCATTAACTTGGTCAAAGCTCCTGTTGCTTTACAAAAGGATCCCTCACTCACCTTGCCTAAGACCAAGGTCAAGGTTTCCCAACAGCAAATGGAAGACAACCGAATGGAGGAGTAAATGAATTGCTTCCGTTTTGTCGTGAGAGTTTAGTGATGTGTAGTATATAACCAAGAATCAATGTGTTGGGTTGTCATTGGTTTGGATAAGATGAGAGAATGATTGAGATTGTTGTGTCTTCACAGATTATGGCATGGGGTTCTGATTATGGGGTGGTTTTTGTGTTTCTTTATTGTGATATTGTTACTTTCTAAAGATTATTTTGACCGGTTGTGAGACTGTAAGTCTAATGAAACTGGCAGGTTTTGAATTTGTGGACGTTGAGTTTGGTGTTTTGTCATATCATCTCGAAATCATGCATCTTTAGGTTTGTTTTTGCACCGGCTGAGGTGAAGTTCAAAAAGCTTATTTCATGAAATTTTTCTTCGTGTTGTTGAGGTTAGATGGTTGGTTGAATTGGACCTCGATCTATTTCGTAAAATTCAACTACTTTTCCAGTTATTCAATTATCCGTGAATAATTTATTTTACAACAACAACAATAACAACATAACCTTTAGTCCCAAGCAAGTCTGGGTAGGCTAATTTATTTTGCAAATGTACTTTATTTTTTGAACGATTGACTTCATTAATATCACATAATGATTAACTAGCCGAATGAACCAACTAGACAGCTGAATTATAATGCAATGCTGTCAAAGCCAGACCGGACCGACCGGTTTTACCGGTCCGATTTGAGACATGGAACCACTGGTCCCGAAACCGGTCAAAAACCGCTTGAACCTGTCAAAAACCGCTAAAACCAGTAGCGGATTACGCGGCCCAGCGGTCCAGTTGCGCTCATGTCCTTGGAGGGTTGCAAAACGGTATAAGAAGCTGATGTTTTAGTTTTCCTTATCCGATGTGGGATGTGCAAAACAAACAGGCTGTCCCAATTTATTGGGCCGCGAGCAGGCTGCTGGAAGTTAGAAAAAAAAAGGACAATTAATGTGTGTTTTGGGCCCAATTTAATGTTTGCTTTGGGCAAAAAAAGTCTTCTTGTTTAAAAAAAAAAAGGACATTAAGTTACTTTTGCTCAATGGCTGAAATGGACTATATTAAACCTCTTAAACTTTATTGGGCGTTGCACAATTATTTTATTTGGGCTTTATTTTTGCTCTTAGAAGTTTAGAAATGCTCAAAGGGACAAATTTGGTTGGACATTATGTAGTATTCTTACAAAATGTTGTCATTACATAAACATGTAGATAAATTTTTTATTTTTATTTATTTAGACAAATGTTATTATACGCTATAAAATTAATGATAAAAATATATATATTTATATATTATACATATAAAATAAATAAAAATTAATATTAATTAAACCGGTAGCTTCACTGGTTCGATGACCGGTCCGGTTTTGACAACCTTGCTGAATTCAGATCAGAGGCATACTTAAGGCAGTCTAAATACCATAAACAGCATAGACACAAGTCTAAATACCCCAATTGAAGATTAACTAGCCGAATGTGTTGTGGTATCATCCCAAGATCATAAACATAATTAAGAGAAAATAAGTTTTTATTACTCACAAGAATAAAAAGAAGAGATTTACAAACTCTAACAAAAAAAGTCTCAAACTCTCCCACAACTCTACTTGGTTGTGTTCAACACTCTCAAGGTTGATTAATCACACTCTTGGATGATTTCAATGAATGAAATAAGAAGCCTATTTATAGGCAAGATTGAGCACACCACCATTGACAAATGTGTATGAATGAAGAAGGTTGGTGGGAATCACTTCTCCATTGGTGTGCTTGAATTTCTTCATGTGTGTGCCATTGAAGGTTTGGTGGAGGCAACTTGGTGCATGGAACTTTCAATTCTCCCCTTTCCATTCAAGTTCTAAACAAGCATTCCTACTATGTCTCTGCATAGCTTAAGCTTATCCAGTGTAACTACTTTTGTTAACATATCTGATGGATTCTCTTTCGTATTGATCTTCACTAGTTTCAACAGCTGTTGATCAATCTTCTCGCGTATCCATTGATACCGAACATCAATATGCTTTGTGCGGGCATGGTACGTAGAGTTCTTGTTTAAGTCAATAGCACTTTGACTATCACAATATACCTTATACTCTTTCTGCTTGATCCCAAGTTCATGGAGATAGCGTTTTAGCCACAACATTTCTTTACCAGCTTCAGCGGCAGCAATATATTCAGCTTCTGTTGTGGATAAAGCAACACATTTCTGCAATCTTGATTGCCAAGAAATGGCTCCCCCTGCAAAAGTGTAGACATAACCCGAATTTTCGGCAATCAATATCTCTGGCCATATCAGCATCGGTGTATCCTTCCAAGATTGGATCTGCTCCCCCGTAACAAAGACATAACTTAAAAGTACCCTTTAAGTATCTGAGAATCCATTTGACTGCCTCCCAATGCTCCTTCCCAGGGTTAGAAAGAAAACGACTCACTACACCCACGGCATGAACAATATCTGGCCTGGTACATACCATTGCATACATCAAACTTCCAACTGCTGATGAGTATGGCACTGCAGACATCTCCCTAATCTCTTCCTTGGATGTGGGACATGATCTTTTGCTCAACTTGAAATAATTCTCAAGTGGAATACCCACTGGTTTGGCATCACTCATATTGAATCTTTCAAGTACTCGTTCAATGTACTTCTCTTTTGATAGCCATAACTTGCCGTTCTCCCGGTCTCGAGTAATCTGCATCCCAAGAATCTGTTGAGCCTTTCCTAAATCTTTCATATCAAAAGACTTGGAAAGTTCTTTCTTCAGCTGACTTATCTTCTCTGCATCATTCCCAACGATCAACATGTCGTCGACGTACAATAAAAGAACTATGAAAACCCCGTTTGAGTATTTCTTGATGTAAACACACTCATCTGCAGTAGTCTTTTTATAACCTTGACTCTGCATGCATGAGTCAAACTTCTTATTCCACTGCCTTGGTGCCTGCTTCAGACCATACAAGCTTTTAGATAGCTTGCACACGAGGCTCTCACTTAAAACCTCAAAACTTTCTGGCTGTTGCATATAGATTTCTTCTTTCAAATCTCCGTAAAGAAAAGTTGTCTTCACATCCATCTGTTCAAGCTCCAAATTCATACTTGTTGCTAAGTCAAATATGACTCGAATTGAGGTCATCTTGACAACTGGTGCAAAGATCTCATCAAAATCAATCCCTTTCTTCTGTTGAAAACCTTTGACAACCAATCGAGCTTTGTGTTTCACCTTCAGCTTGAACACCCATTTGTTTTTTAAAGTCTTTTTCCCTTCTGGAAGTTTAACAATCTCATAAGTTTGATTTTTCCGCAGAGAATCTAACTCTTCCTGCATCGAAATCATCCATTTTTCTTTATCCTTATGAGATATGGCTTCTTGAAAATTCTCTGGTTCTCCATCTTCTGTCAATAGAAGGTATTAAGATGATGAATACCTTTTTAATGGTATATAACCTCGTTCAAATCTACGAGTGCGTAGAACCATCTGAGAAGAACTTCAAACGTTGTTGTCTGGCAAAATGGGTTGTGGCTTCCCTTACTCAGGCAAGATGGGTTGTTGCTCCCCTTGCTTTGGCAAGATGGGTTGTTGCTCCCCTTGCTCTGCATTCTCGTCTGTCTCCTCCTCTTCTTCTAGTACATCATCTTCATTGTTTCTCCAGAACAATTTTGGTGCTTCATCTGAAACTTGAGCACCCACATTTGACTTCTGAGACATCTTGGGTTTTTCCATGTCTTCTATTGTCAAATTTTCTTGGAACACAACGTCCCTACTTCTGATCACTTTTTTCTCCTTTGGATCCCAAAATCTGTATCCAAATTCTTCATCTCCATAACCAATGAAAATGCATGGGATGGACCTCGCATCGAGCTTCTTTCTGAGCTCTTTGGATACATGTGCATATGCTACACAACCAAATACTCTGAGATGTGAGTATGTCGGATTCTTACCAGTCCATATTCTCTCTGGAACTTCAAAATTTAATGGAACTGAAGGTGATCGGTTAATTAGATAACATGCGGTCTTGACAGCTTCTTCCCAAAATGGCTTTGGTAGTTTAGCCATATTCATCATGCTTCGGACACGCTCCATGATAGTCCGATTCATTCTTTCAGCAACGCCGTTGTGTTGAGGGGTACGTGGTACTGAATTCTCATGTCGAATGCCATATGTCCTGCAATATGCATTGAACTCCTAGGAAGTATACTCGCCTCCATTACCAGATCGGAAACATTTTAACTTCTTTCCTGTTTCACGTTCCACCATGATGTGAAATGACTTGAAGTACTCGAACACTTGGTCCTTCGTATTCAGGAAATATACCCACATCTTTCGAGAAGCGTCATCAATGAAAGTCAGAAAATATCTGCTTCCACCTAATGATTCAACCTCCATGGGACCGCAAACATCAGAGTGTACTAAGCTTAACAACTTTGATCTCTTTTTTAAATTTGTATTGAATGAGACTCTATGCTGCTTGCTGGACAGGCAATGACTGCAAGAGCCCAACGCAGCACTCTTATCAACCTTGATAAGATCCTTCTTCATCAGGGTAGTCAACCCTTTCTCACTCATATGGCAAAGTCTATGGTGCCATAGATCCTGGGAAGCTTCCTCTGCAACATTAAGACTTTCTGTACTGATCTTCAAATGTGTTTTGTACAGCGTCCCACAAACATATCCTCGGGCAATTTTCAGAACACCCTTTGACAACTTCCATGTGCCTGCACCAAAGTGATTTTCATATCCTTCTTTGTGAAGAGTAACCACTGACAAAAGATTCAGCCTAAGATCTGGCACATGTCTAACATCCTGCAATAGGATTGTACTCCCGGTTCCTGTCGTTGCCTGGATATTACCAATTCCGACAATAATAGAGGAACTGGATTTTCCCATCTTCACCAATCCAAAGTCTCCAGCTTGGTATGTTGTGAAATATTTCCTGTTAGGAGTAACGTGATAGGATGCTGCAGTATCTACCACCTATTTCATGTCTTCTCGTGAGACATGAAGGCATGTCTCACCATGGGTAGAGCAATATGCTACCTCCCCTGAGACAGTGATAAGAGTTTCACCACCTTTGCCCTTGTTCTTCTACTGAGAACTGTTCTTCGGCTGAGAATTGCTTTTGCCCTGCTCCTCGAGCCATTTATAGCAATTCTTCTTCATATGACCTTCTAGACCACAATGATAGCACACGTGTGATCTTCGATCATCTGATTGCCTCCCTTTGCTTCTACCCCTACTCTTTCCTCTACTGCTTCTTTGTTGCTTGCCTTGTGGTCTTCCTCGATTCTCTATTACAAGGGCATGGGTCCGATCTGTGCTCATGTCTTTCCTTCTTGCCTCTTTATTGAATAAGGCATCCTTGACAACTGACATGGAAAGTTTGCCGTTTTAGGCTGAATTGCTGAGAGTAACAATGAGTGTTTCCCAGCTATCAGGAAGGGAACTAAGAAGTAGCAGAGATTGCATTTCATCTCCAAGCGGCATCTCCACGCAAGATAGCTGATTTACTAGGCTCTGGAACTCACTGGTATGCTCGGCAACAGAATTTCCACTTTTCAACTTCATATTGACTAAGCGCCTCATCAATAAGGCCTTATTCCGAGCGGTCTTGGCCTGGTACATGTCCTCCAGCTTCCTCCAAAGGACATATGCGTCGGTTTCTTGTGCAACATGATGGAAGACACTATGGTCTATCCATTGTCGGATTTGACCAATAGTTTTTCGGTTGATTTTCTTCCATTCTAACGCCTTGGACGGATCAGGGTTAATACCCTCCAGCTCTATCGGGTCAAAGAGCTCTTTACAGCTGAGGAAATCTTCAATCCGAGGTTTCCACAGCGTATAATTGGTAGCCATGAGCATAATCATAGCTCCAGAAGATGAAGTTGACTCTTCCATGTCCATTTTACACCTTCAATGATCTGTTTGGGACAAATCGAAGCTGTATTTTGAAAAATGGACAGCACCGTTGCGTTCGGAACAGTCGAAAATGGGGGGAGGGTTTATTTTTATCCACGGTGATGACGTGGCAGTCAACGGATGACGTGGCGGTTGACTGGGGTCGGATTGCTGACTTGGCAGCTGATTGGGACTGCTGACGTGGCAGTGGACCCTCTTCGCTGATGTGGCAGGTGGCTGGTCTGCTGATGTGGCATATGACTGGACTGCTGATGTGGCTGGTGACTGGGCCTTCTTTGCTGACATGGCGATGACTTGTCAGATGACAGGGCACCACATCATCGTCTTCTTCACCAGATTTTTTTATTTTTTTTCCTCAGAACTTCAGAAGGCTATAACTCTCAGCTCCAGTGTCCGTTTTTCGCCTGTAAGATACCGCCGTGAACGTCTCGACGAGACGAATCTAACGGTGTCCTCAGAATCGAATTTCGAGCACAACTCATAAACTCAAAATTTCTATAGAAGCACGGAAAAATTCAAAATAAGCTCGAAAGCTTCAAACCAAGCTCTGATACCACTTGTTGTGGTATCATCCCAAGATCATAAACATAATTAAGAAAAAAATAAGTTTCTATTACTCACAAGAACAAAAACAAGAGATTTACAAACTCTAACAAAAAACTCTCACTCTCCCACAACTCTACTTGGTTGTGTTTCAACACTCTCAAGATTGATTGATCACACTCTTGGATGATTTCAATGAATGAAATAAGAAGCCTATTTATAGGCAAGATTGAGCACACCACCATTGACAAATGTGTATGAATGAAGAAGGTTGGTGGGAATCACTTCTCTATTGGTGTGCTTGAATTTCTTCATGTGTGTGCCATTGAAGGTTTGGTGGAGGCAACTTGGTGCATGGAACTTTCAGAATGAACCAGCTAGACAGCTGAATTAACTAGTCGAATGAACCAACTAGACAACTGAATTCAGATTAAAGGCATACTCAAGGCAGTCTAAATACCATAAACAACACAAACATAAGTCTAAATACCCCAATTGAAGATGGCTGCAATTTCACCGAACCCGAAAAAGATGCCTCGACTGCGGAATTGTGACTGTGGAGAGGCTATTGTCTATGTGGATGAGGCAAGAAGAGGGGAGGGGCTCCATGGCTATGGTGATATTGTGAAGTTAAGAATACCCCAATTTGGATGGCGAGGGAGCTTTGCTTTGGACAGAAAGGCTATTGGACCAAGTGATTTGCCAAAGTCTTCATTTGTCAATGTGTACAAATAGGCAAGCAAACTACATAATGGGTTTGATTTAGTAATTTGTAAACATTTGCAATCAAGAGAATAAAGTATCAGGCCCAATTTTTTTTTTTTTTTTCCTTCAAAGAACGCACTCTTATAAAATCGTATATCGGATACAAGACCTACAAATTAATAATATTGATCCCTTATGAAAAGCGAAAATTAATGGGGTACCAGAAATGATTTGATTTGATTTGATTTTTTTTTAAATTTATTTTTTACTCTTCTGTGCCTTTACTGTACCAGAAAATTAATAAGGTTGATTGATCACACTCATGGATGATTTCAATGAATGAAATAAGGAGTCTATTTATAGGCAAGATTGAGCACACCACCATTGACAAATGTGTATGAATGAAGAAGGTTGGTGGGAATCACTTCTCCATTGGTGTGCTTGAATTTCTTCATGTGTGTGCCATTGAAGGTTTGGTGGAGGCAACTTGGTGCATGGAACTTTCAGAATGAACCAGCTAGACAGCTGAATTAACTAGTCGAATGAACCAACTAGACAACTGAATTCAGATTAAAGGCATACTCAAGGAAGTCTAAATACCATAAACAACACAAAGACAAGTCTAAATACCCCAATTGAAGATGGCTGCAATTTCACCGAACCCGAAAAAGATGCCTCGACTGCGGAATTGTGATTGTGGAGAGGCTATTGTCTATGTGGATGAGGCAAGAAGAGGGGAGGGGCTCCATGTCTATGGTGATATTGTGAAGTTAAGAAAACCCCAATTTGGACGGCGAGGGAGCTTTGCTTTGGACAGAAAGGATATTGGACCAAGTGATTTGCCAAAGTCTTCATTTGTCAATGTGTACAAATAGGCAAGCGAACTACCTAATAGGTTTGATTTAGTAATTTGTAAACATTTGCAATCAAGAGAATAAAGTATCAGGCCCAATATGCTTTTTTTTGAGTTAATTACCCCCTGGACGGTCCCTTAAACAAATATATCCCATTTAACGAGATCAATAAATTTTTCGCACATCAGTATCCATTAAGTCAAAATTACGATTGTTTTTAACATTTCAATTCCATCCGAATTTGTGTGGGAACGACATTTCAATTTCACCTCTCCTCCTCTCTCCTCCTCCTTTCTCTTTCTTTTTTCTTCTTATTTCTCCACATCCGAATTTGTGTGGGAACGACATAGATCCATGTTGATGGGATAATATGACTATCTTTTCCACAACTTGCCACCGCCTTCGCCTCCCCACGCGCTCCTGTTCGGACCTCTCTCAACCGACCGCAAGTTTCACACGGCCACTCAGACAGCAATCGACCAACAGATCCACACCGGTGATGAAGGTGGTAATCGAAAAGGTGTGCTTTACTAATTTATTTATTTATTTATTTTTTTTTGTTGGGGGTCTCATTGATTGGCATTTGAATCTCAGATCTGGTTGGATTTTATTTGTTTTTGCTTAATTTTCCTTTGATTTTTGAAACAACTATTTGATTTTTTCGCTCTTGAATGAAAATTCTCGTCGGATCCCCAATTGGTTGTTGACGAAATTTCAACGCTCGAAACCCGAGACACAAACCGATTAGATGACCAAAATTCTTTTCAGGTTGGGATGTTGTTCGACGATTTGTCGAGATCACGATGCTTGTTGGGCGTACTACCCTTTCGGATCCCTGTGCCGGCATTATATTTTTAATATGTTGTGCACATATCTGATGTAATCTCGGTTGAAAGAATACTCATTTATGCTGGGTTTGTTTTTAGTAAATCTGATGTTTATTGATGTATTATGGTTAATGTTTTTTTTTTTATTATTATTTGTAGTTTATGTTCAGTTTTATTTTTGTATATGAGTTTATTGTGTATTTGCTTGTTCTTAATTTAGTTAAAAAAATGGTAAAAAAAAACTTAAGATAAACCGTATGGTTAATGATTTTTTTCTCATTATTTGTAGTTTATATTAAGTTTTATTTTGTATATAAATTTATTGTATATTTGCTTGTTCTTAATTTAGTTAAAAATTGGTAATAAACTTAAGATAAATTGTATGGGTAATGATTTTTTTTTATTATTATTTGTACTTTATCTTAAGTTTTATTTTGAATATGAATTTATTGTATATTTGCTTGTTCTTAATTTAGTTAAAAACTGGTAATAAACTTAAGATAAATTTGTAATAAACTTAAGATAAACTGGTAATAAATTTAAGATAAACTTAAGATAAATTAGTAATAAACTTAAGATAAACAGTAAGGATAATGTAATCTATTCTTCCCTCTACATCTTAATAAACGTAGGTTGGGGGCCCTCTTTCAATGTCACGTGGCCAACCTCAACTTTTTGGTGAATTTGTATTTCATGTTATTTTTTTTTTTTTT